GCTGAAGGGAATCGGAGGTCTGAAAAGCGTTTTGGTATCAGATACGGAGATGCAGAGTTTGGGGTTTTCCCAGCTGGTTTTCGGTCTTGGTTTGGTCCAGCATTTCCTTACTGTGCTCCCTTCCCTACCTTTGGAACAGTAATGTATATCCTGTGCCATATGTTGGATGTGACCTGCTTTTTTATTTTGATTTTTATAGAGGATTAGAGTTAAGAGATTTCATGAATCTCAGAAGAGACTTTGAACTTCTAAACAGTGTTGACAGCGTGACGGACTATTGGGGACTTTTGAAGTTGGACTAAATGCATTTGCATTTTTATGGCTGCAAGCCTATGGGGGCCGGGGAGTGGAATGTGGTGGTTTGAATAGGAATGGTCCCCATAGGCTCATGTGTGCCAATGCTTGACCCAGAGCGATTGGTACTATTAGGAAGTGTGGCCTTGCCGGAGGAGGTGTTAGGGGAAGTATGTCACTGTGGAGGTGGGCTCTGAGGTCTTATCATGCTCAGGCTGTGCCCTGCCAGAGAGTCAGTCTCCTGCTGCTGCTTTGGATCAAGATGCAGCTGTGCATGGTGCTACTTTTCTAGCTCCACGTCGGCCTGCACGCTGCCATGCTTCTCTCCCTGGCGGTGCTGGCCTAAACCACTCACAATATAAGCCAACCTCAATTCAATGTTTTCCTTTTTAAGAGTTGTCTCTTCACAGCAATAAAACCCTAAATAAGATGAAAGGATTAAATAAAGAGGTAAATGAGAGGGCAGGGTAAAGGAGGGTCCCCGCACCTCTTTACCACCAGGAAACCTACTACTCACAGACATTTCCTCAAATATATGCACATATAAAAGGCATCTAAATAGAATCATAAATAATCACATATACCGAGGGAAACAACTTCCTTGTTTTCTTGATGGGTAGAGGGTGGCCACTGTTTCCTGACTGACCAAACCTCAAGGAGAGGTGGCTCCTAAATTGACAGTGCATGCCTCAGTCCCCGAGCAGCTCAGGGGACTGTGTTGGCTGTTGCTTGGCCACCTTCAGGTGACCATGCGGTTAGCCTTTCTTCAGTGCCTGCCACAGGCTTTCTTTGAATTTCTGAGAAACAGGATTCTGAGAAGCCGGCAGCAGCTTCGCTTTCCCCCGTCACAGCGTCAGGGCTCACACATTTTTCTGGCCCACCACTTTCCCTTTAAGCCGTTCGTTCACACAGTTTTAAAATGTTTCATTTTTACTTTCACCTGCATGTTTGTCTGTGTGAGAGTGTCAGGTCCTCTGGAACAGTCAGTTTGAGCTGTCCTGAGGGTGCTGTGAATTGAACCTGGGTCTCTGGAAGAGCAGCCAGTGCTCTTAACCACTTAACCTCTCTCTAGTGCACTGTCCCTCTAGTTGGCCGCCAGAGGGTCTGGGCTCTGGTGCAGGCTAGTGTGGACTGAAGCTGCAAAAGCTGCTCTTTCAGGCAGAACCTTGAGCCCAGTAGCTGATGGTACCCCAGGCTTCACTGGTGAGTTGTGGGCCTCAGGGCTGAGCACAGCGTCCAAGACAGCCATACAGTAGCTGCCCCGTGAGCTATGTGGAGGCCAACCAGGTGTCATCACACGCAATACTGCTGCAGGGCTGACAAGCCAAGCGCCCTCGCCTGTCACTGATGGGAAATGACCCTTAGCTAACCTCCCCATTGTCCCTCTTCACTGGGAGAGGGGCTAGATATAGCCCTGGCATCTCCAGGGCGACTGGGGCAGGCAGGGCTGACAGACATTAACATTTCCCAACATCGGGTTCCATCCCAGGCCTCTGGCTTTTGCCATGTTCCAGCTGGAGCAAAATGTCAGTGGCTTTTCTACCCCATCATTGCTGCCTATGCCCTGTTTGCTCATCTGCTGAGCCCTTCATCTCTCTGGTTAGACTGCAAGTTCCAAAAGGCTAGAGACCCATCTTTTCATGGTGAGTCTTCAGCTCAGCAAAGTGTTCGACACATGTGAAATCTTCAGTAAACAGGAGTAGCTGAGGCGTAGGCCCTCTTTTCCGAGAGAGCAGGGTGACCTCAGTGTGTATACGGATACACACAGTAGTGGGAAGGATGAGAAAGGCCTGTGTTCTCGAGACAGATCGAAGATGAGCCCCACTAGCTCGGGCAAGGGAGAAAGAACCTTTCGCAAAGCTTAAAGCCACCTCCACCAGTTAGTTTTGCCTGTGATGCTGCAAACGCGGAAGGCTTGGTGGGACACCTCTGCTGTACAGTGTCTGCTGTTGTGTGACTTGGGTCCTGTAACTCTGACTAGGGAATGAACACAGAACAGACACACAGACACCCACACAACGGAGTTGGGAGTCTGCTACTGCCCCACCCAGAAACTGTGTTTCTTAGGCACAGCACAGAGGAAGGGGTTGACTAGTGTCTGGGGGAGGGGAGCAGTCTCAGGCCGTAAACATCTTTGCTTGCACACATGGCCAATCAACTATGAACACTCACACTCGGAGTCAGGAAGACACCTTTGCCGCTCCTTCGCGCTTCGCCTGGGGTAGGCCGGGCGGCATTCAGGCCACGGAGTTCTCACCTGGCAGTGTGTATGTCAGCAACACACATTCAATCAGGGCCCGGCTCACTCACGGGGAAAGCGGAGGCAAATTGTGAGGTCTCAGGATGCAATGTGGGTTGAAGGTGGACACAGTCTCCCCTAAGGGCTGCCGGCTAGTGAGTCGGCACTAGAAAAGTGAAGACTGAGGAGCAGGGCTCGCGGAGAGAAAGGGGGATGGAAGCAGCTTTGGTGGGAGGTAGGGCGCAGTGGGAACACACTCTGCAGGGTAAAGAAGAGGTTCTCTGCTTTTAGAGGCGGCATGAGCTGGATACAGGGGAATAGGCCACTAGCCACACCTCGCAGAGAGGGACAGGGGCAATTCGCCCTTATTTGCAGTGGGCTAATTGAAGGATGGGAGGCTATGAATTGGGAAGCTGAGTGGCTACGGACCAGGGTCAGGGCCAAGGAGGCAGAGATGGCTATGCCACGCTGAGAGCCAAGGACGCTGTGGGATAGTTGGAGTGAATGGCCACCTCTCTGCATGGCGGTCTTAACTGGTTGCAAATCTTTTGCAGCAAGGTGGCACTCTTTGTAGCTCCAGCCCCCCACTTTTCTTAACTACAGGGAGAATTCTGACGCTGCGTTCCCATGGTCACTGTGGTCTCTGAGTGTACTCCACTGGCTGGCACTGAATGTTTGGTCAGGTCCTTAGTGAAGGGCCATCCCTCACAGCAAAGTGCCTCCTTGAGGGGTGGGGTGGGTGGGTAGAAGAGATACAACCTCTGTAGCTGCCAATGCTACCAAACACCAGTGCATAGCATTTCCTGAGCAGGAAGTAGGCTTGCTCACTGCTTACCACAGGGGGCGGGTGGCTGACTGCTGCCAGACTCCTGCCCCTCCTCCCAAGCTGGATGGGACCTTCATCTGTGCTTCCTTCAACTACGGGTGCCTCTTCCTGAGGCAGACGTGTCTCTCCTATCCTTTCTGGAATTTAAGGTGCTGTTGGGTGTCTTTAGCAAACAAGCAGTCTCTAGAGGATAATCAGCTGTGTCTCTGTAGATACAAATGGGTAGATGTGGAAAGAGCCCTCCTTGTAGGAATGTTGTCTATTCCCAAGTCCTTCTTACAACAGATATGCTCAGAGTTGAGAAGTGCCTAGTGGCACAGATCCTTAAGAGTATGTTGGCTGGCAGATGCGCATTCCAGAGTCAAAGTCCCACTCTGGAGTGCCAGAAGCCACTCTAACAGGGCAGTGGCCACAGGGGCCAGCTGGCAACTGGGTAGGCCTGAATCCCAAAACTCACACGAAGAAGGGCTGTCATGCTTTGGGTGGGCCCTGTGTCATCTCAGCTAGAGCAGCCCTGCCTTGCCTGATGGCTTTACCCAGTCAGGCACCTTGGCTGCCTCCCTCTTCAAGCCAGGCTCATCCTTTGGCTTGGAATGAGGAGGTTCAGCAGGGAAGCAGCCAGCAACACCAGCCCAACCCAAAGAAAAACCCAGGGAAACAGCACTGGCCTAGGATGCCCCTGAGGTAGAATTGGGATTCAAACCCCAGATCCTCCGAGTGTCCTAGGGCAGAGCTGGGCTAGGTTGGAGGAAGTTCCTCCAACACCGGTCAGCTGGGGACCAGAGTGCGGCACTTCTGGACACATATGGCGATTAGCCTGAAAAAGCTTGGGTTGAGCGAGCTAGTCCCTGTACTCCAGTGATGGCTTGTAGCTGCTGGGATGTGCTGTGCTTGGTAGCCGCTAGGCTGGGGCCCTGAACCTGCCGAGGATGGGCATAGCACATCTTCAATGATTGCTCACTTGCTAGCTCCGGGGCTTCATCAAAACAACAGGTGCCCTCCTCCACTCTTGTTCTCCCTATGTGCCACTAAAATGTAAAGTTCTCTGACCAACACCCCTGCCCCTACCCAGTGGCAAACCTGTGCTTCAGGAGACTAGAATGGGAAGGGAATGGCAAGCTGTCTTGGAACAGAGGCTGAGCAGGGCTGCCTCAGGATGGGGCCCCACATCACAAGGTGTCTGCAGTTCATATGGTCAGTGAGAGGGGAGACTTCTTCCTTTAAGGGCTCCTCCAGAACTAGATCAGCCCTGAAATGGCTCTGCCACTCACTTCACACCTGTGATTCAAACGTCCTAACCTGTGTAACCCTCGCTGAACTGGCAAATGTAGAGCAGCAGTCTCAGGAGGCTATGACATGCTGCAAAGGAAGGAAATGTAGGTGAGGTAGATCATGGCTAGCAGCTTCTGTGCCTGCTGGACCTCGGAGCTAGATCCCTGGAAGAAGCGGATGTTATCTCAGTTCTTATTAGTCCTTTATTAGAGCACATCAAACGGGATCACTCTGCCAAAAGAGGAGTCATTTCCGCCATCAGTATGAGTTGCAGCATGAAGCCTCATGAGGACAGTGGTGGCACTCCTGAGGGCCCATTAGCTACATGAACTGAGCCTCATGAACAGAATGACAACATGGCCACCAGCCTGGCTATATAGAACTTGATATTTCTTTTCAACAAGACAAAAACAGTTTTGAGCCCGACAGAGGAAGCCGTGTGATCTGTGAAAAGGCCTGGTGTGACAGCTCTCCACGCATGTGGTCTCTTCTCCAGGCTCCATTTCCCAGCAGTTCCTGCTCCGGATAAGTGCAGAGGCCAGGGCTGTGTCTCCAGGGAAGGAAGATGGACCTAGCCGATGCAGGGCCACAGCTGATGCACCCCGCTCACAGGTGCACCTCGCTCTGTTCTTTCGTGGCCACTGGGAGAGCTTTTACAGGGCAAAAAGCAACCTGCATCTGCACTGGCAGGTTAGAGCTAGATTTTTGCATTTGCCCCGCTTTTCTGACACTAAAGGCACTACTGGCACGCTTGTCTGGCACAGCCGACCCCGTGCTCAGATTCACCCCTATGAAAGGAAGCAGGTGACAGGGAGGAGGCTGCCTTCCAGAGTCATATGGCAGTGTGGTCATTTCTTTTCAAGTTGCAGTTAGCGCAGAACCGCAGGTCATCTTGCCAAACTAAACCAGGAAGGTCCCACAAACCAAACTGAGGCACCCCCGTAAGACAAGGCAAGTCTGTAACCCTCTGTGTAGCACACAGGTATGTTTTAACTCACATGTCCAATCTGATCAGAGAGGACTACACGAAACATAGAAACATGTATTAAAAAAAAGTAGATGACAATGGGGCTTAATCTAAGCTTGGCATATATAAAACTGTATTTAGCTGCTATAATCAAAATGTGAGAGATTAAAACTAACGATTAATGTGGTTAAAGGAAAAGGTTCTATATCTCCAGGATTTTAAAATGTGCAATTCGACAGAAGTACCTGATAAAGTAACAGGGAAGGAATGCATTCCACACCAGCAATGTACGTAACAGAAGGGGAAGCAATGTTCAACAAGGAAGAATGGAGTCACTTAGAATTTCCATTCCTGTTTCTTCCAAGGAAAGAGTGGCCTGATTGGGCACCACACATTTCAGTGTGAACCCAGGAGTTCTCAAGTGGCACCCACACAAGCACAGGATAAAGGGGGGCATGCCTTGGGCATGGGCAGGTAGATTGAAGCCGCCCGTCAAATGCCCATTCAAATGGCAAGGAATCAGCCCATCACCCTCTTGGACTGGTAGGTGCCAATAACATTCCTGGCTGGCACTGTCCCAGACCTGAAGAGATGAGTCAATGCTTCCTATCTTAGGTCTAAGGGTACTGACACTATCGTAAGTCAAGCCTTCAAGTAAAGGGGCTGATGCCAACCTTCCCTCGGGAGATGGATGCTTGTATAGTAGCCCTGGTTCTTACAGTGTCTTCATGGGACATGTGTGGTAGCAGCAGAGGAGTGGGCAGAGCTCATCAGGAACCGGCTGAGCCTTGCCATGTGAGCCATCAGCCCTGCTATCCAGTGCAGCTAAGGAGAAGCCCACACAGCAGCTGATTTGGGTGTCCCTATTTTCCAAAATGGAGTGAGCATCGTGACATTAGCAAACTTATCTGCAGAGAAATACAATGCTATAGGAAGGACACTGTCCAGAGGCTCTGCTGCTCTCTGAGAAGGACAGAAAGCAGAGGTAGAAGGTGCAGCATCTGTCAGCACCTCACTGTCCCTAGCTTTGTGTCTGATCCAGCTCTGTACTCTGCCAACAGAGGAGCTATCTCACCTATGCCCAGCGCAGGCCGGGGCCACCGGACAGGCGGCTGGATGCAGAGTTGACAACTGAGAGTGTGTGTGTGTGTGTGTGTGGCGGGGGGCTTAATAGGAGCATCCTTATGGCACCTGGAATGTTCTTTAGGAAGCCTGCTCCCACAGAAGGGACTCCAGGTCTAATTCCCAGGGGCATCTGGCTCTGGGAGGTGTGAATGTGGTTTTCCTCTGTGCTCCTCACTCAACAGGCCGCTGTAGATCCGAAACATGCTCAGAAATCTGACAGTAGAGCTTTGGACACATTTTCCAATTCAAGGACATCAGCCCTGGGACACCTAAAGCTACCACAGCACAGACTGGCTCACAGCCACCTAGCTTCCTGGTTGTGAAATACAGTTGTCAGGGAGCAACAGTGCGTGGTTGAAGTTTATTCAGCTTAGGGCCCAGAAATGTATTCGTGCCAAACCAGAATCTGATTCCTAATCTGAGAGCCTGCTCCTGACGCTCACTGACCCAGCCCTGGGAGCTGCTCACTTGTTCTGCTGTAGCCGAGTCTGTGGTTGGGCTCCCAAGGCAGGAGGGAGGCTGCCTACCCAAATTCCACACAGTACCAACAATCTTCCTGTGGATGAAGCTTGATAAGAAGGGTCTTGGACCAGCTTTTCCTTCTAGAGGAACTGACAGAGCTGCTGGGAGGAGGGGTGGAAGACATGGGGCTCTAGTTGTGTCTGGTGTGTCTGACGGCAAGTATGGAGTTGGGTACCTGACCTAGTCCTAATTCAGAGTGAGGGTCAAAGGGTCAGGTAAGGGCCTGGAAAGCTCTATTTGCATTTTAGTGAACATAGTGCACTGAAGAGTTCCAGTGGGTTGAACCAATGTGAAAGGCATGCTGGGAAAGAAACATTGGTTCAGTAGGGTCTCCATTGCTAGAGTCCCTGTATTCAGATGTCCAAGGGGCTCACAATAGTAAAGCCAGAGTCCTTGCTACTGTCGTCATCGGGGCTGGAGCTGGAGTTGCTGGAGGAAGCTGAGGCTGGGCACATCAGTGGGTCTGAGAACACCAGTGGGGAGCAGGCTGGGACTCGACTTTTCCCAGATGTGTTTCTAAGGGTGAGAAGGGGCTGGGCCTGGCCTGAGAAGGCCCCTCTGGCACTGCGTCCCTCCTCTTCTTTGGAAACCAGGATGAAGTCATCTGAGGTCACCCCACCGGTGCACGCTGACATCTCTGAAGGGGCCTGTGAAGTAAAACCAGAGAAAAAGAAGGGTAACAGAAAGAATGACAATCCTGAGCAGAGGAAAAGGATGATGAAGGAATGACAGCACTGAACAGAGGCCTATGAGTGGAGTGGCTATGAAGGTGCCTAATTTGGAAAGATGCCAGGTTGATCCTTCTGCTCTAAGGCAGGAGCAAAAACCAAGGAGACAGAATTTAGTCCATAATTATTTTCCCCTTTACAAATTTTGAGTGGATTTTCACAGTTTAGCTGACACACAATAATTATCTATTGACACACATGAAGGTTTGGGGTTAGCTGGGTATGGAAGCTCAGACCTTTATTCCTAGCATTTGAAAAGTAATTTGGTATACAAAGTGAGACGCTGCCTAAAAACAAACAAACAAACAAACAAACAAACAAACAAACAAATGAAGCTAGCTAGCAAAGCTCTAATCTTGCCCAGCCCATCCGGTAGCAGCTGCTGGGCACACCTTACCTCAGAATGGTGCTGCACGTCGACAGGCTCTGCACCCGCTCTCCCCTGCCCCGCCGTGCTCTCCCCACTGCTCTAACAGAGAGAAGGGCCCCTGGAAGTGCTCCCTGGGTCTTTGGGCCAGATACAGGGCCTGGGAAGGGACTCAGCAGCACTTCTAAGGGAATCTTGCCTCTGGGCCTGTCTTTGGTGACACTGGGGCTGACTCAGGCACTTTCCACCTCTAACATTCACAACTTAAGATGGTGAGCTGGTGTAGCTGGGTGTGGTGGCACACGCCTTTAATCCCAGAACTCAGGGAGGCAGAGGCAGGCAGATCTCTGTGAGTTAGAGGCCAGCCTGGTCTACAAAGCAAGTCCAGGACAGCCAAGACTATATACAGAAAACCTGTCTCAAAAAACAACCAACCAACCAACCAACCAACCAACCGAAGGAAGGAAGGAAGGAAGGAAGGAAGGAAGGAAGGAAGGAAAGAAGGAAGGAAGGAAGGAAGGAAGATAGATAGCCAGGAGGCAGAATCAGCTTCCTTAAGCTTATAATAGTCCCTGGGGGTAGCATTTTAAGTTCTGAAGCTGCTGGTGCTGAGAATGTATTAGTTGCTACAGAGATAGAAAGAAACAACTGAGCCATTCTAGATAAGAAAGTTTTATTGATAATGGAATTCACTTAAGGGTGCTTGACAGAGACTTTGTGAGTTGACGGTAAGAAATCCAACACTGTCTTTATTACTGTCTCTGTTTGAGGTGTTCCTGGCTAGAGCCATGTGCCTGCCCTCGAGATGCTTACAGTGAGCAGTTTAAGCTGACTGGGAGTCAACCTGGGCTCAGAAGTGACCTCTCTGAGTGGACCTTAGCTTACATGACTGCCAAAATGTGATGTAAGCTTCGTTCATTACAATTTCATCTTCATGCTAATTTCTTTGTCATAAATGAAAAGTTCTTATTAGTTTTGTTTTTGTTTAATTTTTAAACTTTCAGAGCTGGTGTCTAACTCATGATCTTCCTGTTTCAGGCTTCTCAGTCCTCAGATTACAGTGATGCGCCAACATGCTAGGCAGCTGCCCTCTAGTTTTAAACAAAGAAAATGTATGCAGCAGTGTGCTCTTACAGCTGCATGCATGTGCCCAGATTTAAATGCTACAGCAAGCCTCTGAGTCGTAGCTATCCACAACACGCCCCCTGCTGCCACTCTTCAGAGAGATGCTTGTTAGGGTGCCGGCCCAGGTGCTGCTCCCTTAGTGCACCGGCTTTGTACTCACTAGAGGGCAAGTGCATTGCGTTTGGTTACAAGTTCTAGCAACTGAGGTGGGTGCCTGTTCAGTGACTTCCCAATGGCACTTAGTCTAAGGGAGTGGCCACAGCCCATTGCTTTGCCTTGTCCAAGCTCTGTCTCCTCTGCTGCTTAGTGGGGGGCATCCACTTGGCACCTGACTTGATGGCTGTTCAGTGCTGTCATCTGAACAAATACACAAGCATTTCTCAGATTTTGGTGTGGCAGTTGGGTGGGCCAATGAGTAGCTGGCTAAGGGTCCTAGTGCAGTGAGGAAGCACCTGGGCCAGGAGCACCTGGGAGACCAGGGGACTGCTCGTCCTGGCCCAGCAGATTTCTGGATTTAAAGGACACTTTCTTTTTGTATTCTGGTAGATTTGGGGTCCTGGGAATTACTGATTTTAAGTGAGCAGACAGACAAATCAAAACCAGCACTTCTAGATGGAGATTTTAAAATTCTACTACCATTTTTCGAGAAATACTGGGCAAAGACATGAGACGATTCAGAACTTCGTCACACTAGACTAATACTGTACTAATTGCAAGTCAGTCTATGGGATTCAGGTAAGAACATCTAAGAGGCTTTAAATTTATTGGCTGAAAAGGGCTATGAGGTTTGTAAGGGAAAAGCACAGGTGTCCAAGGAAACGGGATCAAACAGCTTTACAATATGTCAAGGACAAAGCCTTAACCAAGACAGTATGTTGACAATCTGCCAGTTAGTCCTTTTCAACACCTACAAGCAGCTGTGAGAATTCCTAGGCATGGCTGGTTCCCATTCTATTTGCATTCTTAAATTTTAGTTAATCACAAAACTCTACTATGATAAGTGACTGATTTCTTTTAATGGGGCAAACAGTGTAATCAAGCTTTTATAAAGCTCGAGGAGCTGCTGCTGGATGCTAGTGCTTTAGGTCTGCCAGACCTAAATACATGATTTGATCTGGATAGACAGGGAAGAGGAGGTCACAGCTGGTGAGTTAGCTCAGATGCTCTGTCCTTGAAGAGTGATGGTCAGTTTCTGTAAACAATTACATTTTGTGTCCCAAGGATGAAAATCATGCTTAATCAAAGGTAAAAAACCGAACGACAGCATCAAAAACTTGACTAGAGGCAGCCACGAACAGTGAGCACCTCTCACCGGCTCTCTAGTGTTCTGCAGACACAGAGCAATGCACTGCTGTCTGACAAATGGCCAAATAATACAGTACCAGGCCCACTTGCTAGTTGTCCCCCGTGTAACTCTAAAACCTTGAAAGATATACAGCCCAGCTATATTGCTTCCTTAAGAATTAGCGTATGACTGAACTAGTGTCCACAGACAGGAAGGCCTCTTCAGACAGAGTCCCCTGCTCAGTGCTCGAGAAGCACTGTGTGGGCTGAGTCAGTGCTGTGGTTAAGAGCGCTCTCTAGGTTATGAGCACCCTCTAGGTTGGCTTTGCAGAGGTCTCTTCACATAGGCCCACTGAAACAACAGTGCCTGCCCACGAGAACTGAGTTGGGCACTGGAATTAGGAAAATGACTATATAGATTCTAGTCTGTCTTCTTTATGATCCAAGCGACAGTCTGGAAACAGGCTTTAGTGTCCTCATAGGAGGCTAAATATGGAAAGGGGGCTGTCAGGCTTCTTTAGGAGGTAAATGTCTTAAGAAAGTAGCAGTAGAGGGCATCTGAGGAGAGACTGTGATAAAAGGAAATGGCACAGCTGGTACTGCAGTCAAACCTGTGGCCTTGACCTTGCCTATAAAGAGTCTGCAGCTGCCTTTGATTCTTGCCCTGTTTTAGAATAGATTTTATGCCTTACTCAGAGGAAGTAAGAACAGACAGGCTTCCAAATGTGTACTGCCTTACAGGGGAGAGGCCTGGCAAGAAGGTTGAACAGTCAAGCTATACTTAAATGTCTGCTAGTTTCTGTGGATACTTTTATAGATGGCTAGAGGCCTTCTTCTGCAGAACAGCAAGATCAGGAGAGGCCATAAGAAGACATCAACTAAGGACTTCTTTAGCTGACCCAAAATGAGAGTGTACCTGCTTTTATTCCCAGACACAGCAAGAGGACCTTAGTTAACTGGCAAGACTAGATGGGTCACTTGCAAGCTCAGAGTCACCTTTGGGCCACACTGTGGCCTGTCTCACTGTCATTCTTTTATTTTATTTTTAGTTTTTCATGCGTTTATTTAGAAAAGTTAAAAACAATCAACTATATGAAAGGTTACAGAAAATCATGATCAAGGGATTATCAGCTATATTACTACAACCATTGAAAATGTCATTATTTTTTTCATTTAGCATACTCATAAAATTTAGCTAAATTCAAACTTCAACTTTAGATGTATGCTCCCACTAAAATTACCTTATATAGTATGTAGTGGTGCACAGAGGGATTCAGACAGCATCACTGTTCATGTGAAAACTGTGACAACATAAAGATTAATACTATTACAATTATTAAATTTTATAAAACTAAATTGCTATGAAAAAAGAATTTAATTTATTCTTGAAGTAGTAGCCAAAATAAATAAAGCACATGGAAAGTACTGATAATTATTATTTATACAGCACTAAAGTGGAAATATATGGAGCGTCAAGAAATACATACCTATCATGTCTAGCTAGTATAATAACTAAGGATTGGTAACAGATTCTTTGTGAAGAGAAACTTGGTGACACTGAAGGCTGACAGTTGATTTTTTCTTTTTTTATTCATATTTTTATTAATTACAGTTTATTCACTTTGTTTCCCACCTGTAGCTTCCTCCCTCCTCCCTTCCCAATCTCACTCTACCTCCCTCTTCTCCACCCATGTCCCTCCCCCAGTCCAATGATAGGGGAAGTCCTCCTCTCTTTCCTTCTGATCCTAGTCTATCAGGTCTCATCAGGAGTGGCTGCATTGTCTTCCTCTGTGGCCTGGTAAGGCTGCTTCCCCCTCAGGGAGGAGGTGATCAAAGAGCAGGCCAATCAGTTCATGTCAGAGACAGTCCCTGTTCCCATTACTATGGAACCCGCTTGGACATTGAGCTGCCATGGGCTACATCTGTGCAGGGGTTCTAAGTTATCTCCATGAATGGTCCTCGGTTGGAGTATCAGTCTCAGGAAAGACCCCTGGGCCCAGATTTTTTGGTTCTGTTGCTCTCCTTGTGGAGCTCCTGTCCTCTCCAAATCTTACTATTTCCCACTTCTTTCATAAGATTCCCTGTGCTCTGCCAAAAGTTTGGCTATAAGTCTTAGCATCTGCTTTGATATCCTGCAGGGTAGAGTCTTTCAGAGGCCCTCTGTGGCAGCTGATTTTTACTGACAGGAAGCAAAGTCAGTCTAGAAGCTGTGAAGAGTGAGCTATTAATTTCCAGTTCAGTAGGCCAGCATCAAGGCTAGCATTGGCTTTCTTTAGACTGAGTCATGTGCGGAAGAGCAGGTGTTTAGTGTTTCTTGGGGTGCGTAATAGTTTCTTGTGTTGAAAAACACAATCACTGTCATTCTTTACAGGAATCTACAACACAGCCCTCTTTGAGATGCTACCCCGAAGGTCTTCCTCAAGGGCCCTGGTCTGAGCTAACACAGGAAGCCTGGCATTGAAGTTAGAGTTCAGCTAAGAAAATGTTAGGGATCCTGTGCACTCTGGCAGGACACCTGCTTGTGGGACACTGAAGGCCCAGGGCATGCACATATCTAAGTAGGCGGAGAAGAACCAGGGGCTTGTCTGCTTTAGAAATCACTGCTTCCTTGTGCTCCTAGTTGCTTCCTGTAAGAACCGCTCAGAAGCACCTTTGCTGTGGTTACTGGCTCTGCGCTCACCAAGGGCCACACACACTGTTCTCTGCCTGTTCTCACAGCTATGAAAACCAGGAAGGCCTGTTCCCAGCTCAGCACAGCTGGAGCATTTTAAGTGCAGCAAATGCTTATTGTTCCTGAAAGGATTTTTTTTATGTAGTATTTTCACAGTTAACTAAAAAAATCATGTTAATTTTAAAACTGCCAATTAAAAGTAGTTGGTGGGTCTATGTGCAACAGTGTTTACACACATCTGGGAAGGGAACAGAAATTTGGAAAACTTGTCAGATTAAAAAGCCAATGTTGCATATACTCAGGTAAAAATGCACTCACACAGCTTCGTAACCATTTTCAAAGAGCTTTACAAGTCAACCAGAGTTCTGCCATCTGGAGGAAAACCCTTAAAACTGAAAAAAAAAAAAAAATCCACTTCCAATGCAGGGATTTTGCTAAGGTTCATTTTTAAGGATGAACTCTGTAAGTTGATTTTTAAGAAATGTCACTGAAACACCAGCCCTGATTCTACACACATATCTATGACCCCAGCACTTGGGAGGGTGAGACTAGAGGATCTCATGTTTGGGGATAGCCCAGGCTATATGGTGAGGCCCTGCCTCAAGAAATCAAACAAAATCATTACAACTTTAAACCACTGGTTGCAGAGAGCCATCGAGATGCCTCAGTGGGCAAAGGTGTCTCCTGCAGGCCGGACAGCCTCAGTTCAATCCCTTGGAACCTCGCAGAAGGTGGTTCCTAACCAAGTCTAGGAAGCTGTCCTTGAATCCTCCTACGTATGTTACACATGAAGAATAAAAATGAAATGAAGTTGAAGTTGGACACGAACAGCAGTTTTTGGTGAAGAAGCTACAGCTTTACTGCAGGGATGCAGGCCTCCTGGCCAGCCTCCCTTCATGCCTTTGTGCTCTCTCTCACTGACAAACAGGTAGGACTAAGCAAACAAGAGAACCCTAAGACCCTTCCAGCCAGAACCCTGTCAGAATGACTCACAGATGGTGCTGACACCTACCAGGAGAGACTGGCAACTAGGGCTCTCAAGCAGAGAATATATTCCAGTTTTAAAAAGTTGTTAAAACAAAAACAAACAAACAAACAAACAAAAGCAGAATGAAAAGCCCAATCGTGACAGAGATAGTCATTTGTAGTGGTAGAGTCTTTGGGATCTACTGTCTGACTTTCACAGAGGACACTCCCTTGTCTACCAGGTAGACAGTAATGAGTTCTTCCCCATGAAGGGAAGAGAAGGACTTTGATGAGAAGGTAACTAGCCAGGAGAAATCCACTCCAGGCAGCATTAGGAAAGCTTCCAGAGTCCTCCCAGTATCAGTGGACTGGAGACAGAGCTGGAAGGAACTGGCCAGTCATTACATCAGACACCTGACTTCTCATCTCAGAGTGGCTGCAGGCTCAGACCAATGATGCCACACACAGGCTTGTGCAACATGCACTGTTACTCTCAGACCTAAATCTCATTGTCACCACTACAAATATCACCTCCAGATCTGGAGGTCACAACCTATACAACAGGTTGGCACTTAGAGCTTACGTGTTATTTCATGGCTGAACTTCCTATGTGATGGCCTGAAGTACTTTGATAGGACCATCTTTATTCAGAACTTTGAAGAACTATGTTAACTTCATGAAAGCCCATTCTCATCAGTACTCATCAAGACTCCTGTACCTGCTTGCTGGCCCTAGGAACCTGGTTGCCCTGGTCCTGGCCACTGGAGCAGTAGTGGTCATCAGCGATGGTGATCTGTGCATTCTCCTCAGCCTCCAGCTGGCTCTGGTTGAAGCGCAGGGAGCCTTTCAGAATGTCTTTGATCTATTTTCAAAGGAGAAGAAGATAACAAAAAGATAAATGAGTTTGTAGCTAAATGCCAGGCAAACACACACATATATCTGAAGCAAGCTTGTCATTGACCTGCTTTTCTCCAGTAGTTTCCTTCATTTGTAGCTTCAGTTGCCTTTAGTCACTCATGTTCTTGAAAGAATAGGTCCCAAGTTTTAAGTTAGTCTGTGTTAGTCTGAGTAGTATGATGAACTATCTTGCCATCTCTAGCAAGACAAGAAGAGCTAGGATGGGAAGCAACCCAACATGCAGGCTGTCCATGCCATGTGCTCTGCTCTCTTGCTCATCAGATCAGCTATTCTGCATCACAGCACTGCCACACGGGGACCAGACACTGCGCCACAGCAGTGCCACACGGGGACCAGACACTGGGCCACAGCACTGCCACACGGGGAGCAGACACTGGGCTACAGCAGTGCCACACGGGGACCAGACACTGGGCCACAGCACTGCCACACGGGGACCAGACAATGGGCCACATAGTAACAATGACCATCATATTTTGAAGACAGATTAGCAAACCTGATGTGGATGTAAAGCATAAACACAATGGGTCTGGAAAGAGGAAGCAGAGGGTAGGGGATGGGGGTACAGAAAACCCGTTTGGTCTACAAGCCAGTCCGATTGAATTCCCAGGAGTAAGGAGGTGAGATTCAGAAGGGACTATATCTGGGCTGGTAACAGTGAGAGAGGATAATGGCTCTAATATGTACTACATGCTGTAAGATGCCTTCTCGGAGCAGGCAGTGGGAACACACAAGCAGTGGCAGGGTAGTGCACATACCTGTTTTAATCCTGCCAAGGAAACCAGAATTTGATCTTCTTTTTCCAAATTCTCTTGTAATACCACATCTTGAATATTTACTGAAAAAAGAAAAATGACATTTTATAACAAATGCTCTATATACAACCTATATGCTGCCACACAACTTTAGAGAACTATCACTAAGGGTATTCTGTAGACTGTAGATGGGAAGGCAGGGAGGACAGCACTGTGCCCAGCAAGCACATCCTACATGCAGTCTTACCTCTCTCACTTCCTGAATGTGCTGACAATGACAGGCGTGTTCAACACTGATGAGACAATAGGGAACCTCTCACTAACCTACAGTTTGGCCAGAAATCTGGAGCCCTTGTCCCAGTTCTATGAGGAAGTGTTCTTACTTGAGCATTTTCTTCACCACCTCACAGCTCAATGGAGCTTAACCTGTTTCCTTCTAAGATAAAGTCCTCCTACATATCTAAAATCAATAAAGAGGTTGTTTTGGGCATTTGTAAAAATATATCATGCTACCAAATCAATGAAACATTAATAGTAAGAGGAGAAACTCATGGCACAGAGACCTTGCATATCAGTGCCTCTGGAACCAGCTTGCTTTAATCCAGTGTCTTTAAAGCAGGATGTTTCGGTTCTCTAGAAACCTCAGACCATAGTTATTTCCTTCACATCTGACCCAAGGGACCAGTCAAACCAGTGCTGACCATCACTGACACCCAGGCACCTACTGACATATTGCAATGGTTTATACAGTACTACTGCGGGGTAAAAAAGGCACTATTAAAACACATTTTACACAAGATGATGATAGGCATGCCACTTTTGAGAATCACTCTAAATAGTTTCATAATCCATAAACTTTTTTTTGTTTTTTGTTTTTTCAAAATAAGGTCCCTCTGTGTAACCTTGGTTGTACTGGAATCACTTTGTAGACCAGGCTGGCCTCAAACTCAGAGAGATCCATTTGCCTCTGCCTCCCCAAGTGCTGTGATCACAGGTGTATGCTACTGTGCCTGGCTAATCCATACAACTTTTAAGTTCTCTAAATCCCACGGTTTAGAAAATATCCAACTTATAATTCTTTAAATGTTACATGCTTTCCTTGAGACCTGCCTGAGGGACATGTGCTCCATGTGTGCCTGCCTTCCGGCATCCCCCTTTTCAGGTAGACCCAACGCACGCCACCACCCCTACACATCCCCCACTAAAAGCCCTTGTCCCCACTTCCTAGACAGGGAGCCTGGACACCACCCTCTTGCACCCATGTATAATTCCTCTATCCATGTTGTCCATACATGGGCCCTCTAGACAGAACCTAGACCCATGCCAGTAATCCATTCAGCCTCGCAACCGGTAGCTGGCCCCCTCTAGGAAGAGGCACTAGACACATGGCAGTATTCCACATACCCTCATGACCTGCCCTGGAAACACATGTCCCCAGGCCTGCCTTTGTAAGTTCATTCTAGCACTCCCTTTTTCAGGAAGGTCTCACTCATACTATGACCCATCCAGCCCTGCTCAGCACTCTTATACTCCCAACTCTAGGAAGGGAATCTAGACTCCCTTTAGAACCCATACCATGTCAGCTCCACCCTCCCCCACTGCCTACACTTGGCTTCTTTTCTAGCTAGACAATAAAGATTCATACCACCAACTCTACCCATCCCCAAGACCTGAGGACCACCCTTCTCCAGGAAGGTTCAGTAGATGTGGACCCGAAACTCCATCAACCCACACGATCTGACAGAGGAACATGTGTCCAGTGCGTCCCTTAGTACCCCTTGCCTTTCCTTTTCAGGTAGGATCCTAGATTTGCATTGCCAACTCCAACTGTGCCAACTCCTTGTGCCTGAGGGACAGTTCTGAGTACTTGCCCTGGACTCCTGAAGACTGGCAATGAGGATCTTCTGAATGTGTAGTAGGTCTCTCTCTGGGCTTAGAAACTTGGCTTAGCTCAAGCTGAGACTGAAATACTTCTAATACGCCAAAGAGTGAACCTTAGCATCATATGCCCCATTAGCTGGTCAACCAAACACATTGGGGCAACAGAAAACAGCTTCAAACACACACTTTACAAAATAAAGATAAGATTTCCATATTAAGAAACAGTACTGATGATCTAACTCCAGATGCCTAGGGACCATCATAAATATACACACTTGAATAACCAAAACAACAAAAATTAGTACAGTAGCATGCCCTGAGAAAAGTAACTTAGCATAAGACAATGAACTTAGAATAGCAATAATAAACATGATGGAAAAGCTCAAAGAGAATAGGAATAAATAAATACTAGAATGAAGACCCAAAATACAAACATTTCAATGAAATTATGAAAACAAATCAATACATGAAAATAGAATATAATAAAGAAACAGAATTTCTAAAGAGAAGCCAAAATGAAATTAAACTTGAAAAATTCAGGAATCAAAAAAAATCAAACAAACAAATAAGCAAAAATCAGAAGGAAGCCTCATCAGTAGATTGAATCAAGTGGAACAGAAAATACCAGGCCTGATAGAGGAAAGTAGGTAGAGGAACTGGCTCACACAGTCAAAGAAAATGTCAAAACAAAGCAAAGCAAACAAAAACCCAATAACAACAACAAACAAACAAACAAGAAGAGAACTGTGTAGGAACATTGGAAATTAAAAAAAAAAAAAAAAAGCCAAACCCATGAATAACAGTTACAGAAGGAGAAGAGACCCTGGTTAACATTAAAAGAAAGCTTCCCTATTTAGTAAAGAGGTGTATTTAATATCAAGCTCCAAGATGCTCACAGAAAAACCAAACACACAGGAACAGAAAAGAAATGCCCTGTGTCACGTAATAGACAAAACACTAATGTACAAAACAAAGAAAGAATTTAGAAAGCAGCAAGAGAGAAAGATCAACTCAGATATAAAGGCAGGCCTATCAGAATCAGAACAGATTTCATTGGAGACATTGAAAATAAGAGAATGCACTGAAGTTTACAAATTATGAAATACCACAAATGTCAGCATAGAATATTATGCCTAGTAAAACTATTAGTCAGCCATATTAGAGAAAAGGAAATTTTATATAAGACTTAAAGAATTAAACCTCAGATTTAAGGAATTTGTGGCCCTAAACTACCAATACAAAAAGTACTCGAAGAAATGCCCATGTCTGAAGGGAAGGTTAAACATGCACAAAGAACAAATAATTCCAGAACACTAAATCAAGAGAGGCCTAGTTGTGTCTGGAGAGATGACTTAGTCTAGAAAGCACTGGCTTCTCTTGCAGAAGACCTGGGTTCAATTCTTAGCATCTACCCGGCTGTTCACAACCATTTGTGACTCTAGTCTCAGGGTGTCAGACACCCTCTTCTGGTCTTTGTGAGCACCATGCACAAATGTAGTGCAGACATATGCATACAAGCAAAACACTCAAACATACAAAATAAATAAATCATTACAACAGAAGTCTAACTGAAAACCACAAAGCAAGAAAATGATAGGGATTAATACACAATATAGCTTAATGTTAATGATTTAACATTAAGTTAAAACTTAACTTAATGATTTCAACTCCCAATATACAAACACAGAATAACTTTTTGGACCAGGAAATTAGATGTATTTATTTTGCTGTCTGCAAAAAACATACCTTATAATGTATACCTACAACACCTTAGGGTAAAAGGATGAAGAAAAGTATTCCATGCAAATGGAACCAAGAAACAAGCAGATGTATTCTAGTATCTGACAAAATAGACTTCAAAACTAGTCAAGATCTTTGGCTTGTCTGTGTTATGACTGTATTCATTCATGATAAAAGTCCTAGAGAGCTGGGATACAAGGGGATATATTGCAACATAACAAAGGTTATAAACAGGAAGCCCACGGCCAACATCACCTGAAATGGAGAGAAACTCAAAAGCATTTCCACTAAAATCCAAACAAGACAAGGATGTCCACTCTCCCCATTCTGTTCAACATAGCAATTGAAGGAGATAAAGGGGATGCACATAGGAAAGAAAAAAGTCAAAGTATCTTTATTTGCAAAAAAAAAATATATATATATATATATATATATATATATATATATATATATATTCCAGCAGAAATATTTAGCAAAATAGCAGAATACAAATTAACACATGAAAATCTAGCCTTCCTATATTAAAAGGATAAGTACACTGAGAAAAATAAAGAGTACCATTAAAGTAATAGCCTCAAACAAAACAAATCATGGAATGAATCTAATCAAGGAGATGAAAGACTTGGACAATGAAAACTCCTAGGAAGAGGAGGAGGGGGGAGGGAGGAGGGAGAGGATGAGGAGGAGGAAGAAGAGGAGCAGGAGGAGGAGGAAGAGAAGAAGGATATACAGAAGATGATACCAGAAGAGGCAAAGACCTCCCATGTTCATGAATTGGTAAGATATTGCAAAAATGACCATCCTCCCCAAAGCAATCTATAGATTGAAGACAAGCCCTTCAAAATTCTAACGTAGTTCTTCACAGAAACTGAACAAATAATCTTATATTTGATATGCCCATGCTAGCTAAAACAAATCTGAACAACAACAAGATGTCCCTCAACCAAAAAATGTATAAAGAAAACAACAACAACAATAACAGCAAACCTGCTGGAAGTATCATTATCCCAGATTGCAAACCATGCTACAACACTATAGTAATAAGGACAGCATGGCACTTCTATAAAAACAGACATACAGATCAATGGACTAGAATTTAGGAATAGAACATATAATCCCATATTCAAACAGCCACTTGATTTTGGACAAAGAGGTCAGGAATACACACTGGAGAAAAGATAGCATCTTCATTAAATGGTACTGGTCAAACTGGATAGCTACAGAAAGAAGAATGAAACTTGGTCCTTATATTTCAACCCTGTGCAAAAGTTGATGTCAATGGATCAAGGTCGTTAACATAAGACCTGATACCCAAATCTGAAAGAGAAGAAAATAGAATGTACTTTAACTCATTGGCAAAGAAAAGGGCTTTCTGAACAGGACCCAACAGCACAGACATTAAACCTAACAATTAATAAACTGGACCTCATGAAACTAAAAAGTTTCTGTACAGAAACTGACA